AGCCCGATGCGGGACTCGATCCCGGGACTCCAGGATCATGACCCGAGCCGAAGGCAGTCGCTTAACCAACTGAGCCACCCAGGCGCCCTAGTCAATTTTTTTCTGGTTAAAAAAGAATATATGCTCATTCCAGCATTGCTAGTAATGGCCCAAACCTGGAAACAACCCACGTGTCCAAAAGCAGTAGAATGGATACATATATTAGCCACACAACAGAATACTATACAGTGATCAAAATGAATGAATACAGTGATCAAAATGAATGAATACAGTGATCAAAATGAATGAGCTTTGTGTGAGACTGTTGAGCAAAAAAACAGAAGACACAAAAGGAAGATAGAGTGTGAATTCCATTGATGTAAAGCTCAAGACAGGCAAACTATACCATTTTGTTTAGGGATGCATACATGAATGGTTTTGTAACAAGCAAGGAAGTGACTGAAGGGGAAGAAAGTTTTGGGGGAGGTTTCTGGTGTGCTGGAAATGTTCTATTTCTTGCTGTGGGTGGGTTTTTGTTGTATGATGTTAGATTGTACTTTGTATTTTAGGTAATTTTCAGTATGCATATTTCAGAATACAGTGTTGTTAAAAGTTAGATCCAAAAAGGTCTATGCCTATGATAATCTTTGCCTTTTATGAATCAAATGCAAAAGCAAATCTAATGTACACTGAACACTACAAAACATCATTGAAGGAAATTAAGGACGACCTAAATGGAAAGACATCCCATGTACATGGATAAGAGGATTTAATATTATTATGATAGCGTTATGCCCACAATTAATATACAGATTCAAAGAAATCCCTATCAAAATCCCAGTTGGCTTCTTATTTTTTCTTTTTAAAGAAATGGTAACACTGACCCTCAAATTGATACAGCATTGCAAGGGGCCCCAAACAGCCAGAATAATATTGAAAAACAAAAACAACACTGGAGGCCTCACACTTCCCCATTTCAAAACTTACTACAAAGCTACGGTAACCAAACACTGTTGTACTGGGAAGGAAGGAAATACAGGTGTAAATCTTCATGAGCTGGGACTAGGCAGTGGGTACTTGGATAGGACAGCACAGCAAAAGCACAGCAACCAAAGGGGGAAAAATAGGTCCACTGGACATGAGCAAAATAAAAACTTTTGTACTTCAAAGGAAATAAAAAATCATATCTGATTTTTTGATATAAATATTGATATTGATATATATCAATATATGTGTATATTATATATGTAAATTAAAATATTGATTTTTTTATGATATAAAAATGATCAAGAAAGTGAAAAGACAACACAGAGAAGGGGAGAACATTTTTGTAAGTCATATAGCTGATGAAAGTCTGGTATCCAGAAATCTAAAGAACTCCTACCCCTCAAAACCAAAAACAAACAAACAAGAGGCAAGGGAATGGAATAGGCAGACACTTCTCCAGCAAGGATATGCAAAGGATCAACCAACACATGGAAAGATGTTCCACATCATGATGAACTAGAGAAATGCAAATCAAAGCCACAATGAGACACCACTTCACACCACTAGGATGCCTAGAATCAAAAAGATCAGAAAAAGTGTTAGGAAAATGGAGAGACATTGGAACTCTCCTGCATTGCTGTAGGAATATAAAAAGTTGCAGCCAGTTTGAGAAACAGTCTGGCAGTTCCTCAAAAAGTTAAACACAGAGTTACCATATGACCAGCAATTCTATTCCTAGGTACATACCCAAAAGAATTGAAAACATGTGTCCACACGAAAACTTGTACACAGATGTTTATAACAGCATTATTCATAATAGCCAGAAAGTGGGCTATCAACATAAAAAAATAACAAATGTGGTATATCCATACAATGGAATCTTGCTCAGCCATAACAAATAAATGAAGTATTGATACAAGCCACAATGTGGATGAACCGTGAAAACATGCCAAGTGAAAGAAATCAGTCACAAATGAGGACTTACTATCTGATTCCATTTATGCGAATGCCCGGAATGGGCAAATCCATAGACACAGAAGGAGGGCGAGGGATCGCCTGGGGGCTGAGGGGAGGGAGTAAACGGGGAGTGGTGACTACTACCAGTTCCTTTTCCAGGTGATGAAACCCTTGGGGAATTAGATAATGACGGTTGCACAGACTTGTAACGGTTGCACAGACTTGTGAATGTACTATAAACGATGATATTGTACACTGAAAGGGGCCAATTTTATGGGATGTGAACGGAATCTCAATTAAAAAAAATACGAGGGCGCCTGGGTGGCTCAGTTGGTTAAAGCAACTGCCTTCGGCTCAGGTCATGATCCTGGAGTCACTGGATCGAGTCCCGCATCGGGCTCCCTGCTCAGCGAGGAGCCTGCTTCTCCCTCTGACCCTCCCCCCTCTCATGTACTCTCTCTCATTCTCGCTCTCTCAAATAAATAAATAAATCTTTAAAAAAAAAAAAACACGAAATTTTCAAAAAAGTAAAAACCAGTAAATCGGGAATTAATATTTCATTAAAAAAAAAACCTAGTAAGCTTGACTTTACAAGATAGCGTGCTCATTGTAAGAAAAAATGAAAACACTCCCTTCCCAAAGTAACCATCACTACCCTGTGAATAGTCCGGGTACCGCTGGATAAGGAAGGATGATCACACTCCACGGTTGTTTTGTTACTAGTGGAAAGAATGCCTCCGTCCCTCACCCAACACACACACCGCACACCAGCTGGCTGAATGGAAGGTAACACTAGCCCTAAAAATGCCAATCCTTCCCTCTCCAGGACGGGACGTCCTAGCCAAGTGGCTAGAGCAGGCGTGGCCCTGGTGCGGCAGGCGGGGAGGAAGGTGCCCGGGTAGGGCGCCGGGACGCGGCAGGGGACGTGGGAGCCACAGGGTGGAGCCTAGAGGGCGTGGGGGCGTGGCCCAGGGTGGAGGCTCGGGGTCCGGGCACCCGGTGGCGGACCGCGCGCGAGAGCCACGGGGTGTGCCCTGGAGGGCGTGGGGGCCGGGGCCGGGG